GATAGATAGATATGGAGACAGATGATAGAAGATAGATAATGATAGATAGATAGATGCCACCAATCAAATCAAGGGCCCCAACGAAGACCCACAGGCTGCCCTGCAACATCCAGCCCACTTTGCAACTTAGTTCAGCCCAGCCCTGGCACCGTTTCCCCCTTTCCCGGTCTCCTAATTTCCACCGGCAGCAGGAGCATGGCATACGGAATCCTGCCGTTTGCAAAAATGCCTTTAAACGGTCCATCTGGCAGGCATCCCCTTGCATGCCTCTACAAATTTTAACACTCTTCAGCGGTCTGTGTTGCATCCGCTTCGCTGCTTCGGGAATGAAACCGTCTGGGAGCATTTTCTGAAGCAGTGGGGGGGGGGGTTGGGGGGAGGAATCGCATTTTTTGCAAGGGGAAATTTATTTTATCCGTCAAGACTCGCCTTCCGCTCCCAATCTTTTCTCTGGGAAACAGAAAACAGCCAGAAGAGAAGATTCAGCACCTAAAATCCTGGTTATGGTTTCCAAATTGCTTTTTTTTCTTTTTTTAAGGAGAAAAGTTCTGCAAAATGCAGAAAGAAGCAGCAACTCCTCGCGAGGAACCCAGCTCGCAAGGAAACACCAAGTTGGCTTCTTCCACTTCTGTCCAGGTGCCTTTAAGTTACAGGCAGCCTTCGATTTACAACAGTTCAAAGTTACAACGGTGCTGGAAAAAAAAGGTCACGTTGACCATTTTTCACAGTTATGATCTTGATAAGCATTCTGTCAGGATTCCAGCAATCGCCCTTATTAAATCACGATTCTCGAGCCAAACTTCAAAAAACTGCAAAGGATTCATTAGAGGCGACATTCTGACACTGCCCTGTGTTGAAGCCAACTCTGGCCTGCGTCATTTACAGTCCCCGGTGACCATGTTTCCCCCCCTCCCCCCTGGGTGTGTCACAAACCAGATTCTCCAACTGAGCACCTTCATGGGCCGGGTGTCATCAATCACGTTCTCCAATTAAATATATTCCTGGGCAAAAGCTCTGGTAGTTTAGTTACAATCTTTGAAAGAGAAGAGTTGGAATGTAGTTTCACTTTCAAACTGCTGCACGGCTCTTCCAGATGTCCTTCCTTCCTCCCCCCCACTTTTTTTATGGCAACTAGTAAAACGGGAATGGTTTATGACTTGACATTCGGCTCCTCTCACTTCTTGAAGGTGACTGTATAAACAAAACCAAATTGAGTGCAGAGATAGTATTTAGGGTTGCGAACCCCCTCCCTCCTCCCCAGTCTTGGTTGAATTTTGATCATGTGATCAAACTTCAGGCG